TCCATAAAGATTTATAGTCTTGGAAAACCTATGGAGCAGTTCTACTCTGTCATGTAGGGTCACTGTGAGTTGAATCTACTCAGTGGCAATGGGGTTAAGTTTTTTTTTTTTTAATTTCTTTATAAAAGTTTTACATCTGTCTATAGCTAAAGTTAGTATTTAACATTATTTCAGTTTTTAAAAACTTTATTCCTGAAATAGGTAATCATTCACTAGTTCAAAGATGAAAACTAAAATTTTATACTTTAAGAAGTTTCACTTCCACTTTTGCCCCCATTTATTCCCATTTCTCCCTCCTTCATTTAAGCAACAACTTTTATTAGCTTTTGATTTTGCAAAAAGGACACGCAGGTGGCATCTTTTGACCTCCTCTAACTTCACAAGAGGGAGACAGAATCACCATCAGCAGCCCAAGGCTTCTTCCTATGAGACCAGACATGCCACCACCCTCCAGCCTTTTTACCAACTTTGACACCAACTGTCCCTCCCATGGTACTCGCTACTTTTCTGCTGTGTTGGATAATTCGTTGCAATGGCCACACAGAACTCACAATCTCATGATTATGGAGTTTATCAGGGAAGTAACAGGCTACAATTCAGGTTCAGGAAGGTGCTCAGGATTCAGTCCTGACAGTCTCCCCTCTGCTGTGCCCTCAAACACTTGTCTCTCTCTGGCCCTTGGCCTCTCATCCTGGCCTCTGCCTCTGTGGTCCAGGTAAGCCTGCCACTTTGTCTTATGCCTCTTTGTTCCACTGCCACTGTCTCTCCATTGGGGCGTCTCTCCGCCAGGGTGTCTCTGAGCTAAGTAGGTCCACCACAGGCATCTCAGGTCCAAGGACAACTCTCCACTGAATGTCTTTCAGACAAGGAGGTCCAGTGCAAGGATCTCAGGTCCAAGGACACGTTCCATTTCACCTCCAGCTCTTCTCTCTTGATAACAGTTATGTCCCCTGTCTCTTGCCTTGAAGAGGGCTCATTTTAAGCCTGCCAGAGTGACAAAGGGAGCTCTGGTGGCACAGTGCCTAAGGCATATGACTGCTAACCAGAAGGCTGGCAGTTCAAACCCATCAGCCACTCCTGGGAAGGAAGATTGGGCAACTTACTTCCGTAGTAATACTGCCTCAGAAACCCAAGGAGGGGGCGCTATGACTCGGGTCCGACTCGACGGCACATAACAATATGTATGCTGATGGGATCTGGATTGGAATTGCATTGAATGTTTAGACTGCTTTGGGTAGAATCAACATTTTCACAATAAGAAAATACAAATGTATATTTTCCCCTCACACACACACACACACACACACATAAAAGACAGTAGCAGAGTACAGAAACTATTCTAAACTTGCTGAGTCAAAGAGTCCTCTAGACCACTCACAGGCTTGATGACTCAAAATATTCAGAAGCTATTCTATTCATGATTATGGTTTACTATAGCAAGATGATATAGATTAAAATCCAGAAAGGAAAAGGCACATTGGAAAGTCTAGGAAAACCAGGCACAAGCCTCCAGGTGTCCTCTCCAAATAGAGTCACATGGGGATTGCTTAATTCTCCTTGTGAAGTGCTGTCAACCAGGGAAGTTCACCTGAGTCTTAGTGTCCAGGGGTTTTATTGTTGGGTGTCTCAGTTCTCTTGTGCTGCTATAACAGAAATACCACAAATAGATGGCTTTAACAAACAGGAATTTATTCTCTTATGGTTTAGGGGGCTAGAAGCCTGAATTCGAAGGGCCAGCTCTAGAGGCTTGGGCTTCAGCTCTACCTCTTGTTCCAGGCCCACTGGAGCTGGAGGCGTTTTCTAACTCATGCAGCTGCTGCATACTGAGACTGACAAATCTAAGATCAACAGGTAACATGGCACAATCCCAAGATCAGCAGGCAACATGGCATACCAGTGGTTCAAACCCAGAAATAGTCTCAAGATCGGCAGACAACATGGCAGGCTGCTGAATGAAAACACACAGTCCAAGTGTGCCAAAAAGTTCAGAGACTTTTTTTCAAAGCTTTTTCTTATATACAGGAAGCAGACCACATCCCTAAGGAAGCTACTCAGCTGCTCACAGAAGATTCTACCATGGAGTTGATTACCAGTCTCATCATGGGGAATCATACATTCAGCTGCCCAGCCACTCAAAACCAAGCCCAGCCAAGTTGACACATACCCTTAACTGCCACAATTAGTGACTATGGTGTTGTGGATTGAATTGTGTTCCCTAAAAATGTGTTGAGATGCTTGCCTCTGTGACCATAAATGTGATAATGTTTAGAAAGAGTTTTTCTTTTGTTAAGGAGTTCAAATCAGTGTTCTGAATTAAGAAAAAGAGAATATAGGCACAGATCCACATGAGAAACAGACACTGTCTATAGGCTAAGGAACCAAGGAATACCAGGGGGCTACCAACAAGGAAGGAATTGATGGCCGAGACCCAGATTTGGACTTACAGCCACTAGGAACTGTGAGAAAATTAATTTGTTCTTTAAAGCCATCCACTTGTGGTATTTGTGTTAAAGCAGCTCTAGGTCACTAACACATAAAGTTCCTTCAGCCATTTACCTCTTTGATGACCAACTGGGTTGGTAAAAGTATATATATATATATCCAAATGTCATTTTTTTAAAAAACGTAACCATATTTTAAAGAAACATTTTCCCACTAATATGGATAGTCTGAAAGAGTGCAAATAAGTACTGAGAGTATAAGCAGAAGTTAAGGAATATAAATGACCATCAACAGATAAATAGATAAAATGTGGTATATATACATACAATGTATACGTATAAATACAATATACATTCACTTCTATTCAGTCAAATAGAAGTGAAGTTCCAATACATGCAATGACATGGATGAACCTTAAAAACATTATGTTATGTGAAATAAGCCAGATTCAAAGGGAAAAATACTGTATGATCCCACTTACATATTTAAAATAAGCAAATGCATACGCACAGAAAGTAGATTAATGGCTACCAGGGACCAGGGGAATTAGTAATAGAGGGTATTGTTTAATAGTTATGGAGTTCTGTTTGGGGTGATGAGAATGTTTTGGTAATAGTGGTGATGGTTGCACAACATTGTAAATAGAGTATTCCAGGACCCCCTGGACCAAAATCCATGAATGCTCAAGTCCCTTACATAAAATGTTGTAATACTTGCATATAACCTATGCACATCCTTCTGTATACACTTTAAATCATGTCTAGAATACTTACTATACTAATACGATGTGAATGCTATGTAAACAGCACTTTATGCTCTCTTTTAGTCTTTGAAGGATTGCTTTGACCACTTAATTGCTGTTCCCCACAGCCCCCATCCCCTCACCCTGCTCCAATACTTTTGAGTTGTGGTTCATTGACTCATGGATGGGGAACCTGTGGATACAAAGGGCTGACTGTATAATGAATACAAGTGACTTGTACACTTACATGTGGTTAAAAATGACACATTTTATATTACACTTATCGCAGTTTTAGAACATAAGTAATTTAATTCAGATTAAATCAGAAAGCCAGGGGAAGAGGAAACCTAAAGGGGGAAATCGTAACAAAATGAAGGTGAAGAACTACAGAACTTCCTTATTTCCTGTTCTCATGCATGGACCCCAGATACATGCAGACAATATATGGGCACTTCTGAATGAGTTTGGATAGTTAACTAAAGACATTATTTCATTAACTGATATTTGTCACATTATATCACCTCACCCTTACTGAGCTTCAGATTGTGTCCTCATATTTTGCACCTAATAAAGTTCTCAGCTACATACAAAGCAAAGCCCTCTGTGGCCCTAGCTCCAACCTACCTTTATATACCTCCATTTTTGCTTTAAACTGCAGCAATATTTTAACCACTGTTAGTTTCTCAGTTTCCTAAACTTGAAACTCTGGCCTTTTTTCTCTCCTATACCTCCAAATCCCTAACCCTACAAATTCCTAGTTTTTATGACAAAACTAAGGCATGAATTCCTGCAGGAGAGCTTTCCCCAAGTCCTCAGGATAAGGAAGGCTGGGCAGCTCTCTGTATATCCCTATCAAAACACTCAGGTACTGTATTGTATTGATCTGTTTAATGTGGCATTCTTTCCCGCTAATCTGACTTTCTTGAGGACTAATACAATAACTTACTTTCAATTTCCATGACTTCCACTGTTTGGGGCAAGCTGTGGTGCTCAATAAGTGTTGAACTAATTTATATTGGTGGCTGGGTCAGAAAAAGGAATTTCAAAGTAAGAGATCTTGTAGGTTGAAAGGACCTCGTAGTCTAGCTCAGCTGCAGGTTGACAGAAGCAGCAGAGGTGAGTCATGCGGTGCAGTGAGATCACAGAACTGTGAGGCCAAACTTAGGTCATTAACAAATACATGCCCTGGCAAAACTGACAAAGGGTACAGGGTCTCTATGATCTGACATTAGGCTGTGTGTTGGGGCAGGTATTTCGTGCCAGTCCTCTCGTTTGAGTGGTCTTCTCGCGGGTACTAAAGTCTGCAGAAGGGCCCAGGAATCTTTAGAGCGAAAAAGAGCTTAGCAGCTGGGATCCAAAAGCCCAGTCACTCCCTTCAGCCACAAGGCTAGGTTGCCTCCTTACAGCCTCTAGTGCCCGTCCACTTTTCTTTCTAGTTCCTTTTACTCGAGGACTTTTACCGCCAGCTTAGGTAGAATTCCACTGCCCAAGGGAGAGGTCTGCTGGCATACAGAGAGCAGCCGCAGTGGAGACTGCGCTCGGCCTTCACAGAACTTAATGAGGCGGGCCACCAGTGAGGCCCTGCCTCCTTCGGACATCATGTGACGAGGGGAGGTGACTTCTTTTTCTTCTGAAATAAGATTTCAGACTATGAGTTCAAAAACAGAAGGTCTTGTCTCATTTCCACCAACGACTGGACTTTAGGGTGTAGCTCTGTCCCAGAACTCTCCTTTAGGAGGAGCTCGAAGCCACCATCCAGGGGACGGTAGACCAAAGGGGCGGGCTTTCCGCCCCTGGAAGCAGGGGTACCGCTCCAATGGTTTCTCGCGGGGTCCTTGGCATTTTCCTCCTTTCTGCTATTCCCATCTTGTGTTTGGAGTTCCGGCGTGGGAGTCCAGAGCCAGGTAAGTGTTCACTTTCTTCCCTAAGCTCCCAGACTTAGGTAATTTAACATGTAAGTTGAGTGGAGTTACCGTCTGCCGGTCCTCTGTGCCTGGGAGGCCTAGACTACGATTCCCAGACTGCATTGCGCCTGCCTCCCTCTTCCGGCGCCAGCTCGGACGGGTAGAGATGGTGCTAGAATCCATCAGGGAGCTAGTTACAGGCGACATCGGGGAATTTTTGCTCCAGTGTTGGTTTTGCTCATAGTCGAATGTCCACTCTAGGTTAGACATTTCGTTGGGTGCCTGGGGCACATGTTCTAAGCTTTGGTGAAAATGTGCTTTTAGTGGAGGCAAAACACCCAGGTACAAATATAGACAGGATATTTTCAGACTGAGATGAATAAAGGAAATTAACAGAATGATAAAATTAAATTAAAAAAATACAGGAGCCGAATTTAAGATGGTCCTTGGAAAACTTTTGGAGGAACTAACCTTTATGCTGGGAGCTCTGGTAGTGTAGTGCCTAAGGCACTTGACTGCTAACCAGAAGGCTGGCGGTTCAAACCCACCATCCACCCCTTGGAAGGAAGATGGGGCAATCTACTTCCGTAGTGATACTGCCTCGGAGGGGTCGCTGTGAGTGGGCTACGACTCGATGGCACATAACAACAACAACCTTTATGCTGAGATTTGACTGCTGATAAGGGGTCACCTCTTTGAAAAGCCAGGTAAAGAATATTCTAGGCAAAATGAATTGTGACGTTTATAGGGTCACTATGAGTTGGAAGGGAGCTCTGGTGGCGTTGTGCCTAAGGCATTTGACTGCTAACCAGAAGGCTAGCTGTTCAAACCCGCTAGTCACTTCTCGGAAGGAAGATGGGGCAATCCACTTCTGTAGAGATACCGCCTGGGAAACCCAAGGAGGAGTCGTTATGAGTCTCAATCGACTGAATGGCAGTGAGAGATGAGTCGGAATTGACTTGATGGTAATGGGTTTTAGAGGAAAAAGATGAAGTCCAAGTGGCTGGATCAAGGAGAGTAAGGGGGAGAGTGGCTCAAGATAACATTTATTGAGCCCCTATAAAAAGTCAACTTGATGGCGGTGAGTTTGGTTTTGTTTTAGTTTTCCAAAAAGTCAGACACTAAGTGCTTATTCATTATTATTATTTATTATCTCATTTAATCTCCACGATTAAATTTAATCTATGACGATAGGGGTTGTTGTTGTTATGTGCCCGAGTCGACCCGACTCGTAGTGACTCCTTGGGTTTCCGAGGTAGTATCACTACGGAAGTAGATTGCCCAACCTACCTTCCGAGGAGTGGTTGGTGAGTTTGAACTGCCAGCCTTCTGGTTAGCAGTCAAGTGCCTTAAGTACTCTTAGAATCCTCATTTTACAGTTAGAGAACTGAGATATAAGGAAGTTAAGTGAGTTTCTTAAAGTTTTAAAAAAAGTCACCCCGGATTCTGTGTGGACAGTGTTTTTAGGAAGGATACTGTAGTGGAAGCAGTGAGGCAAGTCAGGGTTTTGAACTAGACAGATGTTAAGATGGCCTGGAGTAGGATGATAATTGACCAACCAAGCTGCCTTGTCGATTCAGATTCATGGCGACCTCATGTGTGCCAGAGTAGAACTGTGCTCCATACAGTTTTCAGTGGCTGATTTTTCAGAAGTAGATTGCAGGCTTTTCTTCTCAGGTGCCTCTGGGTGCACTCAAATCTCCAGCTTTTCAGTTAGTCAAACTCATTTACTGTTTACAACAAGTAGGACTCCAGGATGATAAGAAAAGAAATGTGGATGGATTTGGAATATATTTAGGAAGTAAAATCAACAGGACTTGATGGATTCAAGCACATGTGGGGTTGAACAACCCTAGGTAGTTGGTGATGTTGTACCCAGGCTGTAAAGGAGAATTTCAGAAGAGAAGACGACGCCAACCCACGCCAATGCAAATGCAATAGGACAGTTTATTAGCTAACTTAAGTCAGGGTCTTTGCCCTTACCAGGTCAGTGGCTTAAGCAAAAGACCC